ATTTGAACTAAAAATATCATATGACAAAAGCTATTATTGTTTGCAGAACCACCTCTTTTAAATCATTCCTTGAATTAAAACTATAAAATACCACCATTCAAGTAACAATTAGTGGTACAGTCTTTCTGAAACGCCTTGTGATCATATAAGAATAATTGTGGTAAAGTATTCGAAGATTGCCTATTTAGAAAGGGATGCCTTCGTCCACAATTTTGTCAAAAATTCAATAGCATTTACGTTAAATACAAGGAAAATCATAAAAGCCATACACTTAACTTACTCGGTCATTACCACTAACACAACACAAGATGAAATACCATTGTTCCGCTATTTGTGGTCTCTATGGTAACGGAAAGTTTTTCCCTCAAAAATATAGGCTATTTTATGAAGCGTAAAACATGCTACTCGTCATTGACGAATATGTCTGCTCTAAATGGATTTTACTCTAAATGGATGATATAAAAATTTGAAATTTTTTGAAATTTCCACAAATGAGGGGAATGATTTTGAGTTTATTGAATTATAACGATTACAGACGGATTCTTTATTCAGATATTTCTGTACGTTTCGAAATATTTTGCTTTATTAAATATTTACTGTCAGAATAATACAGATTTCTTATTAGAACTATGAAATACTATATAATCAGTTTTAATTAATTTTATTTACAAAGAGAATGATCTTAGTAATATAGAAACAGTTGTTGTTTCCGAGGATTTTTACTGTGTGGTAGATAAGCCAGCTTTAAGTACCCTTCTTTAGGCAAATAGACATCGAGCGATATAACGTAATTCATACAAAAATGGTTGCAATGATGCAACATAGATTCAAAAATTGCAAATAGTGTTTCTTGCTTTGTGGGAAAGAATCAAAGTATGTATTCCTCTATATTCAAGGCTTTTTACGTATACCAGGATCATAACAACACCAGTGTTCTGTCACATTGACACGTTTTTCTCAGTAATTACCCCCCTGTATATTTAGTATTCAAATTCAAATAACTTCAAATTCTCTAAGCCATCACGAAATCTTTCTCTACTTCATAATGGACACCTTTTAAATTTTATTCGCGATCAGGAAATGTGTTTGAACAGACATAATACTAGAATCCGGAATTTAAATTTCATCGTCACCAACATTAAATACTGTAAACCTTGCATATAGTAAACCCAGCTACTTTAACAGCTGGATCAAGCCTCAGTCTGCTGCACATTTATGTATGACCCCCCAAAATTGATCAGAATGTGAGAGTGTGTTTGCTCTGTTTTTGGAGAAATCGGATTAGCATTCACGATCTCCATGAATTTATGTAAATAGAATAATATCTCACAAAACGAATCCCTCGCAGTTCTGGAAAAATGTGGGCACAAGCATAAAAGCAAATATATATTTCATAATTCGTTCGTTCCAGCTTATAAGTCCCAAATAAAATAAGAGCAAAATGTCTTATTGCAAGCGAAATAAAAAGATTTATATCACCAAAATTGTTGCAGCCAACTCCTTTACAAACCATTTAGAAAGGAATGCTGGCTATTCATTACCTCCGAAATCCAGCGCGTAATAAAGTTTAACAACTATCTTATTAAAAAATAGCAGTTCTCTTAGAACAGCGGTTTGTCGGAGGAAAAAGATATGCGACTTCTTCCCCTTCGCTGATTTAACCAAGAGAGCGAAACAACTTACGCAGTTCTTTCCTACACAATGTGCAACTTCATCGTAATTTTATACATTAAGATTCCATTAAAATAATCACTATTCCTATGGCGCCAAGGATAACTTAGATAATAGTTCCTATCATTCAAGTGAATCTTCAATTTTTGATGTCCTACTGCCATACGCAATCCAAACTAGAGATAAACGGTCATAACCAACATAAAAATAGACTCCAGATCATCATATGGACTCATGGTCAATGGAACCGAACTATGCAAGGTATAATTGCTATTATTATACTTTATTCTTCAATTATTTCTTTTTTACTGTTAATATGTACGATGTCTTCTGTGTCATCTCGGCCATGGGCTTGAAGATTCTGAAAGCTTCGTATGAAGTTGCTATTCTTTTCAGTGGGATATTATTATTATTAGTATTACTATAATTGTATTTTCTCCCTCTTTTTTAGCATAGCTTCCAAGAGTTAAAGAGTAAAAGAGTAATTTATCTAAATGGTTTTGACTATTAAAAAGTAATGAAACTTTAAACCTCATTAAGCAGTTGGGGAAAACGCGTTTTTCTGTTTGATACTCCTTCTAGGTATACGTCTAAGTTATCTGGCTAATAGCTAGCATGTGTAGCTAGCTTTTCCTGTCGTCAGACAGTTTGGTAATACGCACCCAAGAATACTTACTATGAGTATGTCTCACTTTCCCATCTTGCTTTATTTTCAAAGATTTAAAAACAACCGTCTTTGCAACATCTTTAGTTCATAAAAAATTGACAAAGTTACAGATATTTTCTAATCTATAAAAGGTGCCTACAACATTATTAAATTTAAGCTACTTTAATTTGTCATTAAATATTTGAGCGCAGACTCACTACAAATGCGACACAGCATGAGAAATTATTGCTGAAGTTAAACAATAATAATCAGCGTAATGCTTGCAATATTGTAGGACTAATTTCGATGATTTAAATATATCGCCATCTCCTTTAGCTGCCTAGTTATAATCTTTTGTTTCTGTGACTTAGCTCACTTATGCTACCTAATCAGAACAAGTCCACAAATTTTATCGTATCAAGGAGCGCAAGGTTGTACTATATTGGCATGGCCTTTAAGGCTCCTTTCTGAATGTGTTATAAATGTCATACAGGCATTGTCATATGGCATAAAATGCGAGAATTCCGTTCACCCCTTCCAGACAGGTGTGAACACATTATAATCCGCAGCCAATTAGGAAAGCTAAATTTGCGCATGCGTGGATGTGTATACAGCTCTCTCGCTCAATATGTTTCGCGAGTTCGCTCTGATTGGTCGATTATTATACCAAATCGGCATACAATTGAAAATTTCGAACTTTACGCCAAAGCCCTAAACCAATTTTTGTGGCTTAGCAAGATATGGTTACTTAGAAAAGAAACTTGGCTTAAACCAGTTATGATATTTATATCATCGTCCGAACGCAGCGTAAGCCTTTCGTCAGACAACGGTTTTGTCGTTATAAAGTTTGTGATTTAATACCTTGTTCAGACGATATGGTTTTGTTGGCATAAGCTTAGTGGTTCAAGGCATAAAAGTCATAAAGTCCATTCAAACATGTTTAACCGAGTTTGAGCCAGAACCGGTCATTGGAAAATTGCGCATGTGTAAATGTATAGATGAGTCAGCGACCACCGTCGACTGATGTTTGCTTCGCTGTGATTAGTCGGCTCTTATAACAAGTGCCATAAAGTTGAAAAACTAGAATATTTAGGCAAAACCTTTAAACCAATTTTTCTCACATAGCAAGATCTGGATGCCTAGCAACGAACCTCGGCTTAGACCTGTTATGATTTTAAAACGACCATGTGAACGAAGCATACAAGTCAATCATTATGTTCATTTATATCTGTTTAGCAAGGTTTAAGTCATAGCCAGTCAGGGAAAAGAAAGTTGCGCATGCGTAAATGTGTAACTGAGCGAAACCATCGATCGATGTTTGCTTCTCTAAGATTGGTGGTTATCATACCAACCTGGCATGAAATTGAAAAGTTAGAGCTTTTAGGCAAAATCCTTAAGCCAGTTTTTGTGACATAGCAAGGTCTGGTTGCTTAGGAACGAAGCTCGGCTTAAACCTGTTATGACTTCAAAACGACTGTGTGAACAAAGCTTATTGCCATATAGGTGACAGTATGGCTACACCCAGCTCCACCGCAATTTTGATGAAGAACAGCCTTATACAGAAGGCCTAAGGATTTTGAATACTTTTTAAAAATTTCAGATAAATTTGTTCATCTAAAAATATTAAGTGATGGAAACTTTAGCAGATAAGGAACAAATGTAAATGAATTATAGCGGTATTTGTCAATGGAACACTAAATGGTGGTTTTCTTCAGTTTCAAAATGTCATTTTTTGAATTCCTAGATAATAGATACTGAGAGTGAAAATGCAAAATAATAAGTAAATACATACATTTAAGAATTTAGATTCAGAGAATAAGAATTTTGTTCAGTCTGTTTAGCTTTTAATTGTGCAGTGTAACACAATGGACACTTTTCTCGTATTAAACTTACCTTAAAACTTTGCTTTCTACATATTTAGCTTAAGCATTGCTTTGGAGAATGGTCAGTGCTTTGTGAAAGTTATGTCATTCTTTTCTGCTTCAATTTTGCCAAAATAGCTCTAGAAATTTAAAATTTATGAAAGCTTTCAATAAGGATATATGTCGGCAATGTAATAACATGTTGTTCGCGTTTTATTAGTTATAAAAAATCTAAATGAACGCGTCAGATTTCTGAAATGAGTGGAAGGTGTAGGTGCTACTCTAACTAAACAGATCATAACAACCCAAACTATAATAACTGATAATTAATCATTTTCCAAAAGGATCTTCTTTTATTACCAGAAAATCAATGGAATTACATCTAACTAGTATAAAATCACATGTTTCTAATCCGATGGAAGTTTACTGGTATGAAAATGGCATAAGTGTCTAGGACAATACAGATCACCTTAGTTTCAGGTAACAACTTGACTCTGCAACTAAAATGCAAGAAACGCACATTTTGATATTGAAATAGTAGTAGCAATGGTTTTAAATGTGAATTTGAAGGCCAATACCAGGAAATGACTTTGAACACATCTTCAAATAAGCGCAACTAGAGCGAGCGAAGTTATTTCATTCCAAGAAAAGTCAACGAGTCTAACAAACGCATTAAGTTAGCATGTACAAGTCTAACAAATCTAATTAATTATGTACGTGTTTTTTAAGTATCTTGCCCATTTTTATTAAATATTCCACTTATTTCAATGAAGCTAGTGGAAAGTTTAAAATATAAATTTAAATTAAGACAGCAAACAATATACATATATATTACGCATTTTATTATAAAATTAGAACAGCCATTACTCACCATAACAGTCTGCACTACATCAGATTTACTACATAAGTGACATTCAGGACAAGGTGTGAAAAATATCACAGCGAATGAAATAATGTGACTCGATTGTCCTATTTAACTAATATCCATCAAAACGTGCTATTGACGCCAAAGAACAGCAAAAGAACACAGAATTCAATGGCAATAAAAAAATAAAAATAAAAACAAACATTTCTAGTGTCCTAAAGCAAGTGTTCTTTATGAAACGTAATTTTATTTTCATAGATCTGCTTTAGCAGTTTATCACCTTTTGACATCACAATTTGTAGCATAGCTTGGCTAACTTTAAAAAGCGTTAAAGAGTGTCCGCTTTTTTACATAAAATAGAAAATTTCTCCTTTCAAGCTTTTGAACTTCTGAAGTTCATCGAAATTGAAAGGAAAAATATTAAAACCTACAGTATTCTTTCATAAATATAAAGTTCCCAGTTTCTTTGAATGATGCGTGCTACTATAATGATTCTTAGTATACCGGGTAGAATCCGGCATGGAATAAAATTTTGGACAGTTCAGCTCCGGAGGTTTGATGAGATCATTCTGCACAAGATTATAATAGTTATGATTGTCCAGTCTTCTCTTTGGCGTTACATCTCCAATCAAATTCGATAAGGACTTGGGCCTTGACAACCGACGTCCATTTTTTATGTTTTTCTGCGAGTCTTCGACAACTTCAGACTGATCATCCTGGCCATCGATATCTTCTTTAGAAGACATTGTTGAAGAAGATCCAGCTGAGCCATCATCAACTTTTTTACCAGATGAAGTGTTGCTAGAATCTGGGCTAGATTTCTTGGAATCCATAAGCAAATCTGTTAATGATTTATAACGGATATGGAATAAAGGAGAAGTGGCAATAGTTTTTACACCACTATTAACCCAAGAAGTTTTCTGCGTTTTATTGTTATTTCGATTGATACCAGATAAATCCTTGTGAGCATAATTTTTGTTGTTTTTCAGGAATCTGGATTTTCCATTCAAATGATTTTGGGAATGGTTAACATGCAGCTGATACTGAGTTTGACGTTTATAAGAAACTTTATTGTTGTTGTTATTATCACAATTGGCGTTAACAGCACCATTCTGGAAACATATTTTACTCGCGCTGTTTGACCGTAAAGGAGTACGGCCAGGAGTATCGAAAACCTTCGCCAGTTTTAGACCATTTTTTCGTTTGTCTATTTTCTCATATATATGATCATCCGCTGCTTTCCTATTTTTCTGGCTGCGATGCGGAATGAATATTTCTTTGGTCTTGAAGGAAGGGGTTCGATTCACAATGCTTACTGTTATCTTATGGGGGGTTTGGTTGTGTTTAACCGTACCTGTACTGGACTTTCTAGCTGGTATAGTTTCTATGGGAGGAGGTTCGGGTGGCTTGCGTTCATTTGATTTTCCATTTACATTTTCGACATTAATTTGGGGTAAAAGTTGAGACTTGTGGTCTTCGCTCACAGAAAATTCGTTCTTGATATTCACAGGTAAAGGAGCAAATCCTCTCACGTAATCATAGATCTGGTCTATCTCATCGTATCGCAAGTCATCAGAATCAGAAAATTCATCAGTCCTATCATTCAGAGGCAGTGAAGTATCATTTGGTGTGGATAAACCCCTTTCTAAGTGCACTCTATTAGGAATATTAGTACCTCGAGGATCAGACGTACTACGTCTGATTAGAGGAATAGTGCGGTATGTATCCATGGATTTCCGTTGAGTATAAATATTTTGAGAAGAGGATGGTAAGTTCTTGATTTCTCTAACACAACTGACATCACATATCTGTATACATCCAGATGCTTCAACCATTAAACTGTGGCACTTATTAGCCAGAGCGGAATGCTCAGGCATTTTAACCAATCCTTCTGCATTTTTTGGAGCCAGAACCTTTAACGCAGCGTTCGGTGGCAAAGATACTACTCCTACATCTTTCGAAAGTGGCATAGCCACTAGACATTCCTCTTCTATCAAAGCGTATAATCGCATTTCATTAACAAACTGAGAACCTTGTTTTACGCCTACAGGTGGTTTTCCATGTACTAAACGTACCATCAAAGGAAATCTTTTCGACATCAGTGTCTTCACCGTATGAACTCCTGATATATTATCCTCTCCGGCGATTGTGCTGAACCTCCCCCTTAATTCCAACGGCAAATAAACAGTATCTCCAAAAGAAGTAACACATCCAAGATATTTTCCACTACTCCGGTTACCACGTGAATTTCCACTCACGATTTCCCCGACAGTGAGAACTTCTCCTGGAGAAATGGTTCGAGTTTTATCCCAAACAGAATCAGTATCATCTGGTCTTGGTAAGTGAACTTTAATACTATCTCGTACTAAACATGATTTTGGGTTCCTCCGAGCCAGTTCAGCAACACTTTCGATGCAACGAACGGCTCGACCGTCCTCTGAAAGAATTTCAAACCATCCATCGTAATTCTCTGGAACTGCAAGTTTGGAACCGACGGTAACCATTCGGCGACCAAAGTCCTTGAATTTCACGCACTGCGCGATGACTTTCAGTTTTGCTCCAGCAGATGCAAGGAACACTACCTGGTTGAGATTAGGTGAGGGCAAGGTGGGAACTCCCAGACTCTGATACTGTCCTTTGATAATTTTGGCCACTTGCGGAAGCTTGAATTTGCTGGTAAATTCTTTTAGGTAGTGGCCCTCGTCGCCCCATTTCACGGCTGAGAGGTAAGTACTGGCGTCGGAGGAAGACATGGGTTCCCCCGATGCAGACTCCCACAGCGATATTGGACTCGTGATTGCTTTCTGAAGGAGACGTATCTTTTCAAACCTTGGACGGCCACAGTTGTGGCTGGAGATCATAAGAAAGCATATTGTTGATTCTTAAAATGGCCAAGTATCATATCTGAAAGAAAAAAAAAGAAAAAAATTAATTAATTTGTATTACTTACAGTAAACAACTGTACTAAAATTAGAATAAGAAAGAGGATACATAACATTATTTATATATTCACTTGAAATATTTTCATCAAAATACTTGTAATACGCAATGCTTGTAGACAAATTTATAGTTACAGACTACGTTTAAATGAAAACTATTAACAGCATTTGACTGTACTGGTTATCGTCACTGGTTTGCTATGGAATATAATATACTGTCTATGAAGTACTCGCTGTCTGGAAAACATTATGGCTTTCTTGCATATATGACATTGTGCCACACGGTGTTATGACAAAATAATAAAATGACACTAACTGTCTGTTGTAACTGTTGAGGTCATATTCAACTTATTGCATGCTTATGAAAATAACATGCTTCTCCTTTTTTAAATAATTAGCCACTTGCGAGGTCAGCCGCCTAAAATGTTTATTATAAAAAGGAAAACTATATAATGCTTTTGATGAGCCCAGTTTGTGAATTTTCATAGATCCTCCAACTAATTGATAATAATAGAGAAAATAATTAAATTAACTGAATATCTGCACTTATTGCTTTTAAATCGCTTAGTTTGTTATTCATTAATATACAGAATTAACTCAAAAATTAAATATCTTATGCTTAGAATACCACCAAAAAAACTGCCGCATGGAGGATAGAAATATTTTATTTCGGGCAAAGGTAACATATTTCTTTTAAATATCTGAGTTTTCTGATTAAATTTGAAATATTTGATTAAATTTCTGATTAATTATTTCTGATAATAAAACAATTATCAGCAAGTGATAAGCCTAGGTTTCCGATTGAACCAAGTGATAAGCCTAGGTTTCCGATGTTACCGATTGAATTCAGCAAATTAGCATGTCACACTGGGCATCAATTCGTTTACAAGGTGACCTTATAGAACGTCTTGAGTTCAAGAATGGAGTGAGACAGGTAGGTGCCTTAGCACGCATTCTGTTTAATATTGCACTTGAAAATGTTATTAGAGACCTAGTATTAATACAAGAGAAAATATTTCTTAAATACTATACTTTGCCGAATGTCAACAGATTGCTTTTATATCGCCTAATTTGTTAGTCAACAACTTATTAAATTCGCATACAATAGGTGCACGTGTTTGGTTGAAAGATTATGCGTGTTTAACAACTGGTGGCTCTAGGCACCGCCGTTTTTTCACTATGCGAGTAGCATACTGAACTACACAAAGATTCTTCATTATTTAATAGTAGAAATGTCATAAATAATAATATTTCAGGCCATGGGCAGAAATTAGCGTGCTCTACATGCAGCATAAATTACAGCTATGCTTCTTAATTTTTTCCTATTGAAGACCTTAGAAATTTTTTACTTTAAAGTAACCAGTAATTCATTCAGTTATTAGAACATTCTGAAAAACTGTTCATATTCGTTTATTGCTTATTACTATATTACATTAATTATTTCTGATAATAAAACAATTATCAGCAAGTGATAAGCCTAGGTTTCCGATTGAACCAAGTGATAAGCCTAGGTTTCCGATGTTACCGATTGAATTCAGCAAATTAGCATGTCACACTGGGCATCAATTCGTTTACAAGGTGACCTTATAGAACGTCTTGAGTTCAAGAATGGAGTGAGACAGGTAGGTGCATTAGCACGCATTCTGTTTAATATTGCACTTGAAAATGTTATTAGAGACCTAGTATTAATACAAGAGAAAATATTTCTTAAATACTATTCAATTACTGGCTTATGCAGATGATATTTGCATTGTTGCCAGTACTGCTCCTGCTCTTAAACAAGAATTCATGACACTGGAAAAAGATGCAAAAAGATTTACCTGTCTGTTAATGAAAATAAAACTAAATATATATTTTGCTTAAAATGCGACTTACCACTTAGTCATTTACAAATTAGTAGAGGTTCTGCAAATAGATGTTTTCATGCCCTGAAAAGCTATTTAAAACCCAGCTTTCTCAAGTTAAGAACTAAATTAGCTCTTTACGAGTCCTTACTTACAGCTACGAAACATCTATAGACAACTTGATGTTGTAAAATTCTTTAAACTACAGAGACTTAAATGGGTGATCATCTGACCAGAATGCATGAAGATTGGTGTTTAAGAAAATCTTTCTGGCAAACCCATGGGAACCAGACTCGTGGTAGAACCCGGTGAGATGGATCGATTGTGTTGAAAATGACCTAAACATTCTAAACTGGAAAACAGTTGCCAAAAGCAGAGACTCCTGGAGACGATCTTGAACACTGACTAAACAGATTGATATTTGCATACTTTCACTCATTTGAATATTAATAATTTCTTCTTGCTGCTGCTATTGAAATATCTGTAATTATCTTCTAATATGAAAATCTTAAAGACTATATATCTAATTATTTCAAATAGCCTTTAAAACTATAACATCCAATAGATAACCTTACATTTTTCGTGCCTCAAAACGCATTAAAAAGTCTTACATAATCATTAACTTATAAACATTAGGAATTAAAAATTTCCTCTTTTATTTCATTGAAATCAAAGGCGTAATACATAACATTATTCTGGAAATGACAACACGATTACTTTAAACATTTTAACTGCGAGTAATGCGGTAGTCACTTACTTCTAAAAACACTATAAACAAATTTTGTATACTTAAAAATTAATTACAAAGGTTTTCCTGCATAAAGTCAATGTTAAGCGATTTTCCCTTCTTCTAAAATGCATCTCTGTTTTGCGGAAATGCTTCCCCAAGAACAATATGAGAAAGATTTCATCTCTTGTTTCCTTTCTAATGGTATCAGAAAGAGATCAAAATAGGGCGAGCGACTTTCATTTGCAGAAGCAGGAACTAACTGAGTCATTTTTGGAAAAATGGCGATTGCAGCTCTCTTCAGGGTAATTGCCAGAGATTCTCAATGGACGATAAGTCATCTTCTTTTAAAGAAAGATTAAAAGAGAGATCAAAAACAAAACAATCATGTGTGGGTTGTTGCAATTTTCTTATCCTACCGTTGAATGTTTCGCATTCGTATGTTTAGCATAAAAAAGTAACCTGGTCCCAAACACTTCCTGATTATACAAAAATATATTTGGGCAACAAATCTTTAAAAAAAAATGTGTGAAGGATTAACTGCAATTCTTTTCCTTACACTTTTGCTTTTTTTAAATTTAGTGAAACCAAGTAAGTAGTAAGAGGGCATGCATGGAAAATAATTAATATGAGAAATAGTGCCAATAATTTCACTTGCCTTCATAAATTAAATGTTTCTTTGCTGCGCTACATTTTGCAGGAGGTCTCTGCAATACAATTACAATCACTCTTCACATACAGTCGATGAGCTTCATTTATAACAATGGAAGATGTTTCAAAATATGATGTGAAATTCACGGTATTTGCAAAAGAAAGTAGATCAGAATTTACTCCATATATGAGCGACGGTTTATTATAATAGGTTACAAGTTTGCAACTTTTTATATATATACATTGTTTATGTGAGTATCGTTTGCTTCATTTTATTGTTGCAAACAGCGTAAATTCCTTTTGTTTTTCTTCCTTTAGTTTTGAACTTTATGTGTGGCAACAAGATAATTGATTGATAGAATTGTGTTTGTGACAGCCATGTAGAATGGCTCGCTTATTTTGTATCAATTATTTTGCATCGCTGACAAGTGTAATTTAATAAAAGTGTAGGAATACAGTCCATTTGTTGATTGATTATAGTTTGTGAAACATATTAAGTTTAATAGAAAACATATTGTTGGTCAAAAGTCTAGCCGGAGAGCTAGTGAAGATAGTGACTGTTCTAAGTGTATTCTAACAACGCAAATATGCATATGGTTTGTGAAAATTATCCACTTTGTGAGGTAAGTGGATTTTGAACAAAAATTCGTTTAATTTGTTGTTAAATTTTAAGAACAATGTTGTAATACAACATAGAATTCGATTTCATTTTAATAATAGTGTTAAGTGATTTAAGAACAATTTCTGTTTTTGAATTGATCAATTATGAGTGAACTTATAACTTTTAAAACAAAAAGAGCGGTCTTACGCAGGAGTGTTACTAATTATGTAAAGAAAATTGAAACTATTTTAACTGCAGATGAAATTAATTTAATAGAACTAGAGGAATGTGTCGAATTATTGAAAAAAAAAAGAAATTGAGTTAAGGAAGCTTGATTCTGAAATCGAAAGTTTAATTACAGATACTAAAGAATTAGAAAACGAAATAGATAATGTTCAGGAGTACACAGATAAAATTTATTTGTGGAAATTTAAAGGTGAAAAAATATTAAAAAATCAAAATAATAAAAATAATTCTAATAGTGTAATTTCAGAACAGGTTCTTGACAATATTAAATTACCCAAGTTAACATTACCGACTTTTGGTGGTAATATTACAGAATGGATAGCTTTTAAAGATCTTTTCAGTGCTTGTGTAAGAAATAATACAAATTTATCTAATGCTCAAAAATTGCAGTATTTGAAGGCTTCGTTGAAAGGTGAAGCATATCGCATTATTCAAACCATTCAAATTTCGGATTGTAATTTTGAAATAGCATGGAATCTGTTAGACGAAAGATATTCAAATAAGAGAGAACAAATTTTTGCATATATTAAACGTTTTTTAAGTTTACCAACTATTCAAAATGAATCAGCATTTGCTATTTTAAATTTAGTTGACAATATTAATGAAGTAATTCGTTCTTTAGAAGTATTGAATCAAACCATTGATAATTTTGGTGACACTTTAATGACTTATTTAATTTTGCAAAAATTAGACCCTTCTACAAAATTATGGTGGGAACGTCAGTTAAAATCTAATGAAATTCCAAAACTTACGACTTTAATTGAATTCCTAAAAAACTATGCAAGAACACTTCAAAATAGCAAATCAACAAGTAATAAGGTACCTAAATCTGTGTTTCAAAATAAGAATAATGTTCTGGTTGCTACTTTGGGTTGTGGTTATTGTAAAGAAGATCA